CTACCCTGCTTTATAACTGACTTTTTGCTTAGCATAATAATACAATTATCTTCTTTCGTCCATGCATACTACCTTGTTGTTTGTCATTCCACTATGATACGGACATATCATAATTAATTTAATTAACTCCTTGCTGATGGTTGCTTAGGTTGTTTCTGATTTTTCACAGTTACATATTGTGTTCAGTGAACATACTTTTATATATCTTTGCATGCTTGTACCAGTCTTTCTACAAGGATACATTTCTAGGGGAGGGATTACAAGGTCAAAGGGAATGTACTTTTTGATTTTTATAGCAGTGGACTTAGAGCATCTGGAAATGTGAGGGGTGTGGCTAGGAACCAAAGGCTCGGAGTTTTCTTTTATAGTGTATAGGAAAATGCCTCTTCATAGATCACTCTGCCAGTAATATTTGTGAGGTGGTATGAGAACCTTGAGTTGAATGTTATAACTTATCATGTAATTCCTGTAAGAGTAAAGTAATAGTGAGTCTTGTGTTTGTGTTTTTTAAACAGGAGTATGCCAGAATGGTCCAGGTCTTACATGCATACTGTATCATTTCAGCAGGCATCCGTATAAGTTGCAGCAATCAGCTTGGACAAGGAAAACGACAGCCTGTGGTATGCACAGGTGGAAGCTCCAGTATAAAGGAAAATATTGGATCTGTGTTTGGACAGAAGCAGGTAGTGATGGCCAGTTACTTAAACACATTTTATTGCTCTGGTGATTGTGGCAGGTTTCTATTGCCCTCCCAATAGAATAGAGAACAAAATCCAAGAATTGAATTTTTAAGCACCTATCCCAAAAATTGTTTGATAGGTGGCAGTTTTTTATTTTATTCTTCCAGAGAATAAAATGCTGCATTTTTAAACTCTTTCTCTGAAAAATTATAAATTATTGTGGGCGGTGTGTTGATTATGTATAAGTAAGAGCTCATGTTTCATCTTTCTAGTCTAAAATCCAAATTATTATAACACTTGAAAGCATTTATCAAGATTCTTTTAATTTCTTTGTGCTCTTAACATGGATAGCTTGCCTAGGAAAGAAAACAAACAGAACCCCTCATTATATCTTCTTTTCTTTTTTTCTGTCTCCACCCCCCCCCATATCTTTTCTAAAGTTAGGTTCCTTTTGTCTTCATTAGGAAATAACTGTGATTCTTGGTTTCTATTTTAGTTGCAAAGCCTCATTCCTTTTGTTCAGCTGCCCCCTAGCGACTCCGTCTGTGAAGAGTATGGTCTGAGCTGTTCAGATGCTCTGCATAATCTGTTTTAGTAAGTAGATTGCTTCCAGGAAAACTACAATCATTTTTTGCCTGAAGCTTTTATTTATTTATTTATTTTTCTCTACTAAAAGTGGAAAAAACCTGACGGTTTTTTTTTTTTAAAAAAGATAGTGATTTTAGGGCTTACAGTTTTTTGTTCTTTATAAAAAACCTTCAACAGTATTACTGCTGAGAGAGGATTTATACAAAGGACTTGGTTACTTAATTCAAAAAGTATTCTAAAGCCGGCGCGGTGGCTCACGCCTGTAATCCTAGCTCTCTGGGAGGCCGAGGCGGGCGGATTGTTTGAGCTCAGGAGCGAGACCCTGTCTCTACTAAAAATTAGAAAGCAATTAATAGGACATCTAAAAAAAATATATGTAGAAAAAATTAGCCGGGCATGGTGGCGCATGCCTGTAGTCCCAGCTACTCGGGAGGCTGAGGCAGAAGGATTGCTTGAGCCCAGGAGTTTGAGGTTGCTGTGAGCTAGGCTGACCCCACGGCACTCACTCTAGCCAGGGCAACACAGTGAGACCCTGTCTCAAAAAAAAAAAAAAAAAAGTATTCTGGGTAATTGGTACATTTCAGGGGGTTTCCTGTTGAGTTAGTCTTTATTAAGCCTCTGTTTAGTTAGAATAACTTTTAAATTATGTTATGTATAACGGACTGACTTTTTGGGCATCTGATGAATGCAGTTCAGAATCATTACTTGTAATGTAAGAAAATAGACACTCCTATAAGCAGGATTGGCCCTGTAAAGATCTGTATTGTTTGTTCTTTCTCCACTTGCTTTTGGCTTGTGCCTGAAATTGCAAAGATGGAGATTCATTTCTTTATGTTAAGGTGTTCTGATGGAAATGCAAATATCCGTGGGGTGGATCTCATGTAGAACAAGCACTTTACCAACGTGTTAGTAGATGTAAATTTGCTAATTGGGAGCAGATTTTAAAAGGGAAGGGAATGTGGGCAAAGGTCCTGAATATAAGGGTTAGACTCCATTGACAAATCAGTGGTGACAATACAAAGGTTCTGAGAATATGTTTGAAGTGAGACCTACTCCTTACATGAAGGCCAAGGGCTCAGTAGGGAAGGTGAAAGGAGAGGTGAAACAAATCATTTCTGAACCCACTAATGCATTAATGCCTGTGATGGGTTTGTTGACTGTCGGGGCTTTGGAGCATTCCAGAAGGTCTGGGCTCTTTCATGATTCATCAGGATGGAGCACAGATACACATAAACTGGAATAGTGATACTTACCAGCATGTCGCCAAGTGTTTTGTTTTTATTTCATTTTAAGAATGTGCCATGTGATATGTGTTTCTAATCCTTTTCACTCTGGAATCCTGCCTTACTGTATTAACATTAAACAGTGTCTCAGGTTTCATTTCACAATGTGCTCACGGAGTTGGAAGGAGTTCAACCGACAGACAATTTTTCTTTATCAATCGGCG